AGGGGTGGCGGCGGCGTTCTCCACTGCCCTGAACACGGACTTGAACTCAAGTAAATCAGATGCACTGAGGCGACGTCCACTGTATTCGATCCATTGTCGCGTTTGGGGGCCCCTCTGTGCCCTGCCCCAAGAGGCTCACAGTCTAGGGGGCAGGGTGGGGTGAAAACAGGCACCTGTCTAGTGCAGGGGTGTGCTTCGCCTTGTGGGGGGGCTCCCTTCAGCATGGCCGTGTAGGCTGGGCATTGTGGAGGATCTCAGCTGGGGTGAGGGTGGGGACGATGCTCCAGGAGAAAGGTCTGCCTGGGCAGAGGAGTGGCCGAGGGGCAGGGTGGGCATGAGTGGAAGGTGAGGGGGTGGCGCAGGTTTGCTGGAGCATCACAGTTGGGGTGGCTGGCTGGTATGGTGGGGATCCCAGGAGGGACAAGGAGCAGAGGCCACGTGTCTGGCTTGGGGTGAGGCCCCGGGAAGAAGTCTGGCAGGGTGGGACTGTTAGGCAAGGGAAGGGCCCATCTAGCCATTTCACAAGTGGGAAAAACGAGGCTGAGAGGGAAGGGCCTGGCTAGAGGTCGCAGCCCGTGGGACCTCTGCCAGGAAGCATCCTTCTCTAGACTTACCCCTGTGAGAGGTCTCAGAGAAAGATCTTATTACCCCATTTTACAGATGGAACAGCTGAGGCTCAGAGCTGAGACCCTCAGGCCAGGTTGAGGAGGCTCCACTGGGGACTGTGACTTGAGACAGGCTGGCTCTGCTGAGTCCTCCACCCTAACCCTTAGGGGGCCCAGCAGGACAGAGGTAGGAGAGGGAGACACAGGGGCCCTGGCCTGGGCCAGCCCTGCAGCCATTGCTGAGCTCTCCACTGGAGACAGACTGGAGTGTGGGGTTGTCCTGGCAGACGGCTTCACTCAGCCATGCATCTCTCAGGAAGGTGCTCAGGGCTCTCCAGGGCCTGGGACACGGGCTGAGGTCTGGGCCCAGGCCGTGGTGAGCGGACTTGATCCTTGGGAGCAGGAGGGCCGCCATTTTGCGGCCCCTACACGGACTTCACATTTCGTCTCTGGGGTCCTGGCCTGACACCTCCCACCCCCCCACTGCCCAGCAGAACTGGACCCTGTCCCCAGTCCTGCCTGATGTCCCCAGGGGCTTGGCTTGGTGACAGTGGAGACGGCCGTGGGGTGGTGGGCAGGGAGCCAACAGGTGGGACGCCTCTTCATTGAATCTAGATCTTTCTTATGGAAAAATTCTGTGCAACCAAGCTCTGAGGGGTGGGGCAGGGCTGTGGCGGCAGGCGCAGGGGGAGGAGGGCGAGGAGACTGGCGCCAGTACTCCTGTCTGGGCCGCCACCTTCTGGAGGAAGGAGAACTGCCTGGCAGCGAACTCCCGGATGCCCGGCTCGGGGTCTTTCTTGAGATCTTCAAAAGCTCCAGGAAGGAGGGGCAAGTCAGAGGCGACCTGAGCTGCGGTCTGCTGCAGCCCCAGCCTTCGGAGGAGCCCTGGGACGCTCCCCCCGAGCAGCCACCATTACAGCTTGAGGCCGGGTGGGGTGGGAGGCGCCCAGACACTGTCCCCTCTGACTCCCAAGCCTGGCGTGCCTCCCTTCCCCTGGTACTCTGCACCCCACGGCCCTGTCAGCTCCGGTGAAGCCCTGGCCACGGCCTTACTTTGAGCCTTGGGGCAGCCTGTGGAGTGGGGGGGAGCCCATTTCCCAGGTGTCACAAGTGAGGCTCGGGGAGGGGAAAGGTCACCCTCACCCTCTAGAGATGGGGGGGGCTGGGCTCTGCTCGGGACACCTGGGTCCTTGTCTGGATTCTGATGGTGGGGTGAGGGGGCCTGAAGAAGCCCCTACCCCCTGGGGCCTCAGTCTCGCCGTCTGTGAAATGGGGGCTTGGCTGAGAGGCCGTGTAAGATTCTGAGCGTTCTGCAGCTGGAGTGGGAGGGCCTGGCCTGGGCTGGGGGTGGGGGGCAGCGGGTGGGGGCTGCTTACTACAGAAGAGCAGGTTTGTGTCAACGCCGGTCACCATCTGGGACACGGCCTGGGGGTGATAGCAGATGGTATAACCTGCATGACACAGAGAGGCACAGAGTCCTTGGTGGGGGGGTCTCCAGGTGAGTGAGGGGCTCCCCATCTTCTATGGGGGGCTCAGACCCACCCCCTTCCCCTCCTCAGCCCTGAGACCCTCTTCACTCATTAGCCATGTGGAAGGTGTTAGGGTGGGAGGGCCAGGGTAGGTGAGGGTCAGGACAGCTCAGGTGAAGGGGGCAGCCCTGGGGGCCCACAAGCTGTCCCCGCCATCTGCCCACCTATGAAGAGCGCGGCCCAGGTCTTGATGTGGTGGTGGCAGCTGTGCAGGTAGCTGAGGGCCTGTGCCAAGTGGACACTGAACTCCTCCTGGCTGTGGGTCATCTGGCCAGAGGGGGCATGCCTGTCACTCACGGGGCAAGGGAGGACCCCGTGCTGCCCCCTGCCCGCAGGGCTGCCTCAGCAGCTGTGTGCGTGAGGGGAAAGAGGAACAAGTGGGGACCCCGAGCCTGCCTCCCGACCCGGGCCTCACTAGGCAGGTCCAGAGGAAGTGGCGGGCGCTGAGGCCCCGCTCCCAGGCCAG